GGGGGGGGAGGGGGGGAGGAAACAAGTGGAATGGTAGAGAAGGCCTTCAGGGCCAGCCAGAACGTTCTATCATTCTGATTGGTTAACCTCGCTAAACACCCTGGAATGTTCGTTCTCCTCTAGTGAGCAGGAGAACCCCATTCTTCCCTTTCTATCAGCCTGAAGTTACTCATGTGTAACTTGAAAGAGTGATAATTTTTGGTCTGTGGAATGATGGAATAATTTGTTTTTTAAAAATTAATTCGGTTATTTTGGCAGTCACATTGTTTGGACCTAGAATATTGTCATAGGGGCTACTGATAGCCTAACTAGAAAGTCCAATGCATGCACCCGCAATTTTGATGCCTCGAATTACTTTGACTGCTCTTAGAATAATTCTGTTTCGAGTTTTGTTTCACCCAACTTCAAGTTCCCACTGGAATAAATGCATAGCCAATTCAATCTCCATGTTTGTTATAGCTCTGGGTGACATATGATCTTCTACCCTATTAATGTTGAAGACGATAAAGGCTAAATTAGCGCACTTAGACTTTCTTTACACTTTACTGAATGATTTTATCATTCACACTGCATAAAATTATGCAAGCAATTTTTGTTTCAGTCAATTTGAGGGTTCTTGAAATTGATGAATGAGAAGTGCCTAAGATGTTCAAGACTGCAGTTCATAAAGGTCAGTTTTGAGTTAATCGATTATTTTCCACTTAAGAACTATTCTCATTTATTAAGTCAAAATAAAACCATAAAAAAATCATGTCTCTCATAGGGCAAAAGAGTCTATCAACCGTCAGTTGACTTCTCACTTCAAACTACCATCACCCCACTGACTGTGTCATATTCGACTACTTCCACAGTACTCACCTCACCTTTTTCTACCTTTGTGTCTGTCTCTTCTACATCTTTGAAACACTCTTCTGTTCTCCCCTTCCCCCTCTCGACTTTTTTCACTTTGATATTCCTTCACCTCTGTGAAGTCTGAAGTCAACTAAAGAGCTAATGATAATAATCAAAATACCTGCCATTTAATAAAAATAAATAAATGTTTGGTCAAATTCAAGGCTTTCAATTATTTAATTACACGATTGGATATTTTCGACATAGCAACCACTATCTACCATTATTGCCAGTTTCGATTGTTTTTGTAACATCAATTAAAAGCACCAAAAAATTTAAATCAATTGTAAAAAATTAAGTAGTTGATAATTAGGTATAATTTATATATTCTATGAAAATTGGAAAAGTGGTGAATATGTGCTAACATGTTTTAGCTTTGTGCGGTTTTAAACAAAGAAAAACACCAAGTCCATATTACAGGAATCCTCTGGAGAAATATGTTAAATGCAAATGATAACCCGATGCCCGAAAAAACCTTCGAAATTTTGACGAATGGGAAATGTTATTTGTCAATTTCCAGGAAGTCATCATCATCATCGTCGTCGTCGTCGATGTCGTTAACTTCTCGTCTCACAAAACGGTAGTCAAGATCTGGAAGAAAGTGTAAAAGAAAATTATTGTTTTAAATTTGTTTATGATAATAGAAGATTTGAAGGACCTAAATTGCTTCATGAAGTATAGACTGGGGTAAATGGACATAATTTGGCCTATTTGGAGCTTCGAAAATTAAGGTCTATTTTAGGAATGCTTAAACTACTTTTCGAACAAGGGGTGTGCGATAGACTTACATCCACGCGGTGCACACTGGGCAACGTATACTCATACGGCAAAAAGTCTATTAACTGGCAGTTGAATTCTCACTTCAACTTACCATAACCCCACTGACGGTGTCATATTCGACTACTTCCACAGTATTCACTTCACCTTTCATCTACCTTTGTGGCTGTCTCTTTTACATCTTTGAAACACTCTTCTGTTCCCCCCCCCTCCCGACTTTTTTCAGTTTGATGTTCCTTCCCCTCTGTGAAACCTGAAGTCAACTAAAGGGCTAATGATAACCATCTAAACGCCTGCCATTTGATATAAAGAAATAAGTAAACTTTTCGAATAATTAGAATAACGCATTAACAACAGCGTCAATTTATTTTTAAACTCAGTATGGCCACCTGTTTTGTGATAATAACCGTTAATATTATTATTTGCCGCTATAAAATTAAATAATCCATGACCTATTTATCTCCAAGTTTGTATTTTTATATTTGGAAGTTACCTTCATTTTCGACCCCATTGCTCGCATTTCTGGCGTAAAACTTGTCAGAGGAACCTGGAGGCGTAGATTTGTCGTGGACTCTTTCCTCGCCTTCTTCTAAATCATCATCGGAATCTTCGGAATCATCCAAAGGGAGTGAAGTCTTCGTTGTAGTTCTGGAGAAGGACAATAGCTCTTAAAAGTAATAATTTACAAAAAATAGACACTAAAAGGAGAGATCATTAACCAGGTAATACGGGAAAAAAGGAAACATAAAAAGCACAAATGTTTAACTGCACAGCTGCCGTTAAAATATTAAGGCTGATTAAGTTGCGCATTTTGAATTCAGCCAACCCCAGAGCTCACACATGTGATGAGCTTGACTAGCCGATTCCTAGGTTAAATTTAAGGAGAGACTACGCTTTAAGCTGCTATTGGCCAATTTCCTATTTCGTTATTGTACATTCAAACGTCTTCTAAGCCACCAACGAAGAAGACTATTCTGGTTAAAGAAACCTCGATCAACTAAATTCCTCATAATCACTCTTAGGAGCATTTACATAAAGAAGTGGATAATTCTAAGAAGTTTATTTAAATTGAATTGAAAAAAATGATAAAACCAATCGGTTTAACTAAACAACCTGTGAATAAGTACTTAACACCGTTGACAAAGAATTCGCTCAGGAAACCAGGTGAAAAATAATGAAATCTTGCCAACTGAGCACCCTGTGGGACACGTTATCGCGTTGTTCGTCATCGTATGCCTGCATGTCTGCTCGCCAGGATTAGGAGGTGCGGCCGTACAACTCTGTGTGCAGCGACCGTAAAAACAGTGACCAATCATTAACCTCTGTTTAACCTAATCCGCCATCCTGATCATGAGTAGCTCCCTGCGTGTACACACTTGATCTGCAATATACGTCCTGAATAAACGTCCTCCGTGCTACACGTCTGTTTCCTTGATGGCTGGACTATAGCTTAGCTGGTTCTGGGAGTCTAGCTAGATGTTGGAGAATCTGCCATAGAGATTTCTGAGTCGGTCAGGCTTTACTAAAGTAGCAATCCGCCTACAACTCCATT